TTGACTTCGCGTCCATCCCAGATGAGGCGGAGCTTGCCTTTCTGCTCTACGACACCCAAGGGACAGGTCATGAAAGGGCGGGACTGGCAAGGTTTGATGGTCTCTGACTCCAGCAAACCCTCGATGGCAGAAGACACAAAATCCCCGTGGTCCCGTGCAGATTGGTGATTCTTGCCCCAGTACGGCCGGGGGGGAGGTCCTGAGTGCCACATCGGAGGGAACCCTTGCAGGACCCAGCTCAGCACGAGCTGGTTCACCACTGTCGCCTTCCAGACCGCGGCACAGGCTCTCAAGCGCCCCCGCATCTTAGGCCTATCCTTGCTACCCATGCTAGGAGGTGTGGCTTCACAAGGCGGATCAACAGGCAAAGGTGCTGGGTTCTCACCTTCTGGGACCGCTTGTTCATTCCTCGAAGGGGCTCCTGGGTCTGGATGTGGTTCCTGGGCTTTGCGGGCGACCTTGGTCCGGGGCCGGGTGGGCTCTGCAGGGCCGGGTGCGGGACGCTTGGCGGTGTTCTTGGTCTCCGCTTGTGTGTTGTCTCGTTGGGCAGGGGGGGGCTGCGCGGGGCGAGGGGCTCTAAAACCCGCGGCAACGAGCAGTGCGCCCAGTACTGTGGCGGCCAAATTCTCTGCATTGCAAGAGACAAGAGATAAAAGAGGGGAAGATGAGTAGAGGCCGGGGCTCATGGCGACTGAGGCTACGAAACGGTGGGAAGCCGCCCCTCCTGGGATGACAGAAAAAACCGAACAGGCTACTCCGGGGCGACCTGCGCCGCAGGGGACGGGGCCACCAGAGCCATCGACCTGTTTGATGCCTCTCTGTCGTTGTTGGGTACATGCATGAAGAGGGAAACTCGGACGGAGGAAGGACAGGTCCAGCCTGAAGCCGGCCACCTGGGCCTGGAAGCCGCCATGGTCAACAGGACCGAGCCAACACGGCAATAAGGCCCCAAGGCCAATCACAGGCGCCACCAAGGGCAAGAGCTCGCGCGCGTTACAAAGAAACCTCCCTCCAGGGTACAACTTGGTCCGACATCTTCTAGCGGTGGAAGGTCTGGAAGAGACCGGATGTGCAACTTAGCATAACAAGTCTTGTCAAAGACTGGGCCAAAGCATACTCCGTTCCAACCCAATAATGTTTGTCGGACTTGTGGGCCCCTGCAACAACAACGACCGCGAACTGCACGGAGGGGCCACTGAGCGAGCTTAAGAAAAAAGGAGGGGGGTAGGATCGGTGCCGTGCCAGAGTCGAGCAAACACAAGGCCCAACAGAATCCTAATCAGCCACGCTTAGCCGGGCTGCGAGAGCGGCTTCGGTCGCGCTGGCTGCGCCGGTCGTAGCGGTCATAGCGGCTGCGGTCGTTCCGGCGTGCACTACCAAACGAATCCCGCACTCCACCCTGCCGGTCTCTCCCTCGCCAGAGGGACCCGGCCTGACCGTCCCTGTCCGCCGCCACCGACTTGCGCGTTTTAGCTAATGCACTCTCTATGTCGCCCTTATCTAAGGCCTCTGGTTTGAACTCTGGCTTGGTGAAGTTGCGCCGCCTGCCGTGCCAGATTTCGTAGGGGGCCGTGAAATTACCGTTGGCTCCTGGGCCCGCCTTGGCCAGAGCAACGGAGTAGCACTTAAGGCGGCGGTGAGCGATCTTGAGGCATTCTCCCGCGACGGCCAGCTGGGGTTCGTTCGCATCCAGCGCGGTGATGGCAGTCTCTAGCAGCATTAGCGTTCCTTCGTCGAGCTGCTCCCGCTGCTCGTGTGGGGCTGTCAGCTTCGGGGCGTCGTTCGCTTGAACTTCAGTCCTTATTGCTGCTAGCTGCTCTCTTGCGGATGGCATGATGGTCACGTCTTTTGTGATGACAACGTCAGGAGAGCGATCCCGAGGCGGTGCTGTCCGGGGATCCTTGGCCGGCGCTTTGGGGGCGTTGGCCTGCGCTGCTGACAGGACGCCCAGCAGCAGCTGGTGAAGAGTCGGCTGGTCTATGTTCCCGCTCAAAGTATCCCTGGCGGCTTCTATGTCGTTTTGGTTGGCTGGCAGCATCTGGCCCGATCCCCCTTCGCCGGCTGCTTCGGCCGCTCCTGCGTTGACCAGGTTATCTCCCGTTGCCTTTGTCCTCTTACCCGTCATTTTTTGATTTGTGACGGAGCTCCTGGTTGTTCCTCGGAGAGTGACAGGTCCGCGGCGATGTCGATTCGTTGTGGTAGAGCGTCGATGAGGCTTGAGGGTAGTCGGTAAGGTCTTGGAAAAAAGTGAGAGCAACAATAATAATAAGCTCCAATAGTGTAGGCAGAATTGGGGTGTCGAATTGGCCCGTCCGGGTGTCGAATCAGTCTGTCCGGGTGTCGAATCAGCCTGTCCGGGTGTCGAATTGGCTGTCGAGTTGGCAGAATCGGCTCAGGCTGGCATTTGGAATCACATGACTTTTAAGGAATTTACAGAAAACTTTGCAAGGGGACCGCTTACAAGTGGCTCATGTGCGTGTTGGTTTCGATCCCAGTACGTGGGGCAGGAAAACTTGCGCGCCTGGTTACCGTACTCTGGCAATGTCGGGAGGCAAGCACTCAGGGCCACAACTGCAATACCCAAGTCAGCCGCCGAGGCCGCACTGTTTTCCTACCCCAGCTCATCCGCAGTTTGTCCAGTTTATCCCACAACACACGTATGCATGAATAGGTGCGGGTGGAAACAATGGGGAATCTCCGATACACACCACTAAACTGAGTACCACGAGCTAGATTGAAAACAAATGAAAATGCAGATGTCTGTGGAGAAGAATGTGTGCTCCATGTGTGTTCTGTGCCTCAATTCATCAAGCTCTCCGTTGGGCGGGGCATGGCCCATGGTATTCCGTCCATGCAACCAAACACTGACACAAAACGTTGCACGTCTTGGCCCATGTAAACCACCACACTTCCATGTGGATTGGCGACCTGCGCTCCCCATGTCAGGGGTCCTCCCTTGCTGCTGGTGGCTCCCAGATTGTTCTCACACACAAATGCCAAACGTTGAGCAGAAAACAGACAGGCCACTGCAGTATGGCATCAAACCACGCATAACCCACAGCAGCAGTACTGCTTGGCCAATGCGACCAGCCATGTACTCCGTTGCGCATCAAACACCCATCCACGTGTTGCACTCCAGCAGACCATCGGATTCCATATCGTAATATACTGTCGCCCCAACACGTGTGTTACCAGCCGCGGACGAGCATGGGTCCAGGTTGATCCCGCCAGGAGTGAACAA